ATGGTTGTGATCGACAAGAGATATACACCACTAAAATGAAACCTTTTGTGCTTCACTGGGACATCAGGAAAGTATTTGCTCCAGGTCAGTACACAGAAGTTGCTGTCCAGAGGGACCAAGGCTACTTCTCAAGCTGTCAGCCTAATTTGGCAAGAGTCCCCATGTGGCACTCGTTTTGAAGACATGAAAACTGCAGAATTGAAGGAGTTCTCAATAGAAGGTGGGGCTGGCCACCATGTGGAGAGGTCAGAGGGCCCATTGGTGAAGGTGTAGTCTCATTTGCAACAGAGATCCCAGGATATTGGAAATGTCAGTACTGAGGGAAGTCCACCAAGGATGATAGCAAGTGTGGTGTGGAGAGAGTCCACACTGGGAGAAGCTGTGTATGTTGTGGGTAGCAGAGCTGAGAGCATGGGACTCCCTAAGCCTTTTTCAGCCAGAAAATCATGAGTTAGTTCCAGATACTGGACATGGAGCTGCAGGATCTGGGTTTATACTGCTGAAGTTTGATTTGGCTCTGATCAGATTCTTTCCATGCCCTGATTCTTCTCTTTTTAAATAAGAACATGTACAGTTTTTTTTTTTTTTTTTTTAATTTTACGGGAACTACTGTTAAGGGATTTTAGTGTTTTAAAGAGACATTGAGCTTTTAAAGCATTAGGATTTTTAAAGGCTGTGAGACTTTAGAAAAAGATAATGAGATGGTGAAGACCTGGGTTCAAGTGCCCCATTTTCTTAATCAAGCCCTAATAAGTTGCTTTTCTCACTGCTGTGATAAAACAGCTAACAAAAGCAACTTAAAGAAAGAAGAGTTCACTCCAGCTCACAGTTCAGGGTTCAGTCCATCACGACGGGAAGGCCATGGTGCCAGGAGCTTGAAGTAGCTGGTCATGTGTCTGCAGTCAGGAAGCAGAGGGAGAAGAACACTGCTTCTCAGCTTGCTTGCTCCTTTTTATCCAGTCCAGGACCCCAGTCCACGAGATAGTAGTGTCCACAATTAGGATGGGTCTTCCACCTTCAACCAGCCACATCTTTATATTCCCTCACAGACAAGCCCAGAGCTGACAACCAAGATTAACTGTAATGATCCTCTTCTACTATTGGGTCCTGTTTCCTGATTCACTGAAGGGGAGACCTATGTTCACGGAAGTGACCTGAGACATCTTTTGAGCATGTGGCACCATGCCTGGCCTGAACTTAGTGTGTGCTTTGTGTCATCTTTTTATGAGCTGTGTGATGCTTCGGTGTATGCAGGACTAGTGGACCTGGCAATATCCTATAGGAACCTCAGCTGGAAGGCGATATGGGTTGCTTCGGTTTGGATGGGCTTCAGAGGTCAGGAATCTAAGGGTGGACTCCATCATGGTAGCAGAGACAATGACAAGAGTCTCTGGGAAAAGCAGCCTTATCAGTGGTGACAGTGGGATAGCTTCAAGGGTGGTGGAATGGCTGCTCTTGGTCTTGCTTCTGGGAACACCCCAGTCACAGGAGTGGCAGGGAGAATCCTGGGCAGAGACTCCAGGGTCTCTGGAAGAATTGTCTCCTCCCACTTCATTCCAGCTTCCTGACCTGGTAGTATTGTATGCCGGGGGGGAGCTCATGAGATATTGTTTCCCCCAAAAGCTCAAACAATGATGAAATATTTGATGACATAGCTTCTATAAGGCCTACTCCCAAGACAGCCCATCTTCAAATGACTGCCAGCTCCTTCAATGCCAAGGCTGCCTTCCTTGGGGATCAACATATGGAACTTGTTTTTAATTTAAAATAAAATAGACTTCCTAATCCCCTTCCTCTCTTGCTCTGTCTCCCATTGGCTGATACTCTGACTGTCCTATAAACATAGGAGTGTTGCTGCCTCCAAGACTTTGTCACTGTATTTTTCCTGGAAATGGCTACCACTTCCTTGGCTTGACCACGGTCCATGGGCTCCACAACAGCTCCTGTTGTTGCTCACCTCAACCTCCTGCAACCCTGGACCCTGGATCTATGCTGGCTCCTCCCCTGCTATTGCAACAAGAACTCCCAGGGTAGGAAGGGCTTCCCCTGCTCTTTCCCACCTGCCTGTGCTTGCCCAGGAAAATGCACCTCTCAGCCTTGGTGTGCGCTGTTTGTATCTATCCTTACAGCAGCACCATTTACAAGGGAGGAAACTGAGAGAATAGGCATTACTGCTCTAGCTCAGGGGTGTGGGTCTGTAGGACCTGTCACCAGTTCTGACCCCAAAGCATGGCTCTTAACTCCACGGGAGGATTCCTAGCAAAATCTCACAGTAGCCATCTAAGACTGTCTCAGTTCAGGACTGGCTGTTGGTGGCATGATCTAGTTGCTCTGAAGGCCTTGTTTTCTCAGATGTTCTATTTTTCATAGGGGTTCAAGTTTCTTAGCTTTGGGCAACAAAAGAAAGGGTGGAGAGAGAGAGAGAGAGAGAGAGAGAGAGAGAGAGAGAGAACCACGTGGCAAATCCAGCCTCTAACTTATTGCTTCTCTCCGGGCCTCTCCGAACTCAGAAGCCCCCTCCCCAGCTGTGACACCACCCTTCAGCTAACCCTCCCCCCCTTCAGATGACAACCCTGTGATCCATCATGAGCCATCTGCTTTCCTGCTGCCAGGGACAGGAGAGCCTGGAGCTGGCCCCACTGGGCTGGGAGGCAGCTGCACCTGCCCATCACAGCCCATGAAGGGCTGTTTGCATTTGCTCGCGTTGATCCCCCACGCCCCCTCCAACCCCCACTATCTGAAAATGTGACATCTTCCCATCCAGGCCTGGAGTTTCTAGCCAGTCAGACAGCCTCAGACTCAGCAGTGAGATTGAGATTTGATGAGATAAAGCCTTGGGCATCTGTGAATTGGTTCATGGTTCAGGCCATGATGAAAGGGCTGTTTGCTCAAAAGATATCCGGAGCAAATTCAACCCAGGGCCTGAGAGCTTCAGAAAAGTATCTCTACTTTAACCTCCTGATATTTTAGGGCAAAATCCAAACACTCGTCAGTCTTACTACTCTCTTGAGAAAGGTATATTTTGTAATGTGACATGGAACCATTTTCCAAGAGAGAGATACCCCAGCTGCTTTCAGGGCTCACTGTGGCATCTTTATTTTTTGGGTCCATACTGTAAACACTGAATCCCAACACCACTTTCTAGAGAGGAGATGCAAATTAGAGCTATAACTAGCTAAAGAGGAAATGAATACTGAGCTTTTGCTAGCTCTTGATTCCTAAAATGTGTGGGGAGAGGTGAGCAAAGAGTAGCCAACTGAGCATGAGACATTTCCTTAAAAGAATTAAAAAAAATAAAAATAAAAAAAATTTAGAAGGGCTCTTTTCCGTCTCCACCTTGGGACAATGACCTCCTGCAGACAGCAGCCCCATGGGTCTCTTCAAAAGGGCACAATTACCCCCGTGGCGTCTGTCGGTTCTGCTTGACTTGGAGAAATGGCTCCCTCCTTGGAGTTCCTAAAACATTTATCATGCCAGCGATTCCCTGGGCAATTAATCAGGTGCTGCCTTGACTATCTCTTCCAACGTTGTATCGAGCGGCTGTTTAACCCTTATCAGCAGTGGGGCTTTCGACAGCTTGTCTTTCTGACTCAACGGGAACTTCTAGAAGGCCAGGCAAAGGTCCACTCCTCTCTGTGTCCTGTGCCCAGTCCCTGAAGATTCGTGGTCTCTTCACCAAGGGAGGGTCTGTCTACCCCCTGATAGACTGCATTTGCATGCAGGATGCTGAACACAGGTCTGGGACGGACAGGGCCCACAAAAGGGCCATCTGCACTGGTATCCTCAGGAACACTGCCTCTGGTTTGTCTGAGCATGACTGAGTATCTGTGGGGGTTTCACTACTGTTTAGATTTTTTTAAATTTATTTTGTTTTTGAGAGAGAGAGAGTGGGTGCCCTCAGAATTCAGAAAAAGCCATCCCTTTGAACTGGAGTTACACATAGTTGTAAGCTATATGACATGGGCTCTAGGAACCTAACTTGGGTCCTCTGCAAGATCAGTAAGCACTCTTAACATTGATCCATCTCTCCAGCCCTGTTTAAAAATTTTTATTAATGATTATTATGGGAGTGGGATACAGACCATGGCCTGTGTGTGGAGGTGTGAGGGCAACTTTATTTAGTCAATCTGTCCTTCTACTTTCAGAAATTGAACTCAGGCCATCAAGCTTGCATCACTGGGCAGCAAGAACCTTCATCCACTGAGCCATCTAACTAGCTCCCATGACTGAGCATCCCTGGGTGCCAGACATTGTGCTTCTGCAGACACCAGGCTCTGGTCCTGTTCTCGACTGCTGGACACCTTTGTTCCCCACGAGGCAAGCTGTCTGCTTCAAAGCGCCTGTCACAGACCTCCCAGCCTAGGTGAAGGCAATTGTTTTGATCTCCACTATAGTGTGTGGCTTTCAAAGTACAGAGGGTTTGTGGATTGAAATCTCTCCCACAGAAGTAAAGGATGGAGGGGGTGTCTATGAGTCAGAACGGGAGTGGAGCGGGGGCAGGGCTTTGCTAGTCTGGAGCAGTGCCTCTGAGAAGCCCATGTCCAGTGTAGCTGGCAGACGTTTGTGACTCAGCAATTCATTTCTCCAGCCCAAGGATGGAAAAGGCTTGCAGCAGGCTGAGTATCTGTGTAGCACCCAGCCTGTTTATGGGATGGAGGCTGCAGTCACTCCAGCCATAGATGGGCCATTGGTTGTGTGGTTCCTTACCTGCCTGCAGAGGCTCCTGCTTCCTTCGTGAAGAATGAGGTACAAGGGGAGCAGATGAGAGCTGTCATGATTCCCCCAGAAGAAATGGCCTGAGCTAGGGAGGTTCTGGAAGAGGGCAGGAGATGCCTTCCTGCCAGACCTTTCTGAACTGAACTCCTTGCCATTTCCTGATTCCTTTTGTACCCCAAGGCCCCAGCCACTCTCCTGATATTAAGGGATTTTTTTTCCCTTTACAGGTGTGCTCCCTTGTAGGCTCCCCATGAGTGTAGAGCCTGAAATGCATCAGAGCACAGGTGGGCATGAGAGTCATTGTGTCCCCGCCAGGATGGAGAGCTTTAGAGAAACCCCATTGTGGAGCTTTCTTGCAGTCAGCTAGACCCTGTAAGTAGAGGAGACGCTGATCTCTCCTAGGCTGCAGATCATCCCATTCAAATGAGAGCATTCAAACCATGCCTCACTCCTGCCCGAGGTTTATGACTCTCCCGGGGTCCATTCCAGAGCCCACTTCTCAGCCAAAGCCTGATTTGGGGGCAGCTGAGACCAGCCCCAGGCCCCAGAAGGAAAGAAACCTACATCTCCCCAAGGGCCACCGGCCAGGGACAATGGATCCTCTGTCAGCCAGTAGTGAGTATTACAAAAACCTAAAGACATTATCTTGGCCCTGGTGAGACGTTTAGGAAATAAAACAGATTTTAAAAACACACATATACATGAAAAATGAAGTAGAAGCACGGCTGATGGTGAGAGACTCCAAGGTGACCTCACCTCAATCTGGCCCTGAAAGAAAAAAAAATAATGTGTGGCTGTTCTGGAAACCCAAAGCTATGGGCAGACATTCAGGGAGGGGCTTATCCCAGTCAGGATGAAGTCAGTGTCAGCGCAACAGAACCTCACAGGCGGCTATGATGGCCCATCTTCCTTGTCAACTTGATGGCACTAAGAACCTCCTTGGAGGCCCACTCTTATTATGACAGTGTTTCCAGAAAGATTTAACTGAGGCAGGAAGACTCGCCCTGACTACAGCCAGCACACCTCCATGGGCTGGGGTTCCTGACTGCATAAAAAGGAGAAAGCAAGAAGAGTATCAGTTCTCTCTCTGTGTGTCTCTTTGTCTCTGTCTCCTCTCTTTCTGTCTCTCTCTCTGCTTCATAATGGTGGGTGGAATGTGACCAGCTACCTCACATCCTGCTGCCAAGCCTGCTTCATTGAGAGAGACTGCACCCTTCAACTATGAATGGAAACCAACCTTTCGTAAGTTGTTTTGTCAGGTGTTTTGTCATCGTAAGGAGGAAAGTTAACAATATAATAACCTTATTTGGAAATAGGTTCTTTGCAGATGTAGTTAATTAAGGATCTTCAGATTATCTTGGAGTTGGGGAGCTCCAAAATCCAATAAAGGGGGACCACTGGAGAAAAGAGGAGGGTTTAAAACAGAGTCATGTGACAACAGAACAGAGACTAGAGTAATGCATCCACCGGTCAAAAATTGCCAAGAGCCACCAGAGATTAGAAGAGGCAGAAGGGAGGCTTTGAATGCAGCCACACACCCAGACTTTATACTTCTGGATGAGAGGTGACTGTGGCCATGTGTGCATTCCCAACTCTGCTGTTCACATCCAAAGAGTATGGTTTCTCAGTTGCTTCTAAGGCTCACAGTTCCATGGTAGCCAGCCCATGCTTGACTACACTGCTCACCTGAGCGCCCAGGGTGGATGTGTGGGCATGGTGCGGAAGCCAGATTCAACAGCGACATAAGCTTGCACAGGAGACACAGTTCACCCTGCAGCTTTCCTTGGGGAAGAGGTGAGAGCTAGGACCAGTATTACACAGCGCTCCACAGAACGCTGGTTTTCATAGGCGGTGGGAATGAGAGGCTTGCTTACCACCAGCCTTCTAGAAAACCATCAGAGCCTCATCCATCCTCCAGTCTGCAGACACTTCTATGCAGCTGCTAAATGCGGTGTCAGGAAGGCAAGCAGACCGGGCCAGTTCGTGCCTTAGAAGAGATAAACATGAAGAGATGAGGTGCCAGTATCTCCTGAGGAGATCTACTGTGAACATGGCTGGAGGGATCTCTGAGGAAGCAGCCATCAGGCTGGGACCTGGACACTAAGGAATAACGATCCAGGCAGAATGAGCAATGTGTGTAACGGTAGGGCAACTTGGCTAGCTCCAGAGACATTTGGTTTTATTTTTTATTTGTTTACTGTATATTTGTTGTTATTGTTGTTGATTTTTGAGACAGAGTCTCTCTGTGTAGACCTGGAACTCACTCTGTAGACTCACAGAGATCAGCCTGCCTCTGCCTCTCAAATGCTGGGATCAAGGCACGCGTCACCATGTTCAGCCTTTCAGAGACATTCTTGAGGTCTCAGTGTCTGGATAGCAGGAATACCTGGTTGGCCCCCTGGGAGGAACAGGCTTTCTGATTTGTTGTTTAGCTGAGGACAAATGCCCTAGAAAGGAAGGCCCTTCGCCACTTCCCAGAAGTCTCTCATGCCTGCCTTTAGAGAGGTGAGCAGTGCCTCTGAGGAGTTGGGGCTTCCTGTACCAGCATCCTCAGGCTGAGGGATCTTCCATTAGAGATGTGTGACAACTGATAGCAATGACTGGCAAGCATGGGCGGAGGGGGGGGTCATCCTTCCTAGAGACAGCTGGTTCTCCTCCCCAAACCCTAACCCAGTGGCACATGTATGATGGGCTCTTAGAAATATTTGTTATTTGACTGGTTCTCCAACCTAGGTGAGGAGAGAGAAAAAAGAGAATGGAGGTGCGTGGAAGCATGTGACTGCTCCATGACAGATGAGATGGCACTCAGAGGAAGGCCAACCATCGCACAAATCTGAGCACAGGAAATTACTTTGTGTGCATGACACCAGGGGCTGGGGGCTGCTGTGGCTCTGCCCAGGAAAGAAACTTTCTTTTACAGGTGGGGTTTGAGAGAGGGTTTTAAGTAGCCTAGGCTGACCTCAAAGTTCCTATTTAGCCAAGGCTGACCTTAAGCTTGACCTTAGTTACTTTTTGTTGCTCTGACAGGACACCGTTACCAAGACAACTTATAGAAGAGAGAATTCATCTGGGACTCAGGGTTCCAGAGTGTGTCCATGATGGTGGAGGAGAGGTAGCTGAAGGACAGAGGCGACTAAAGCAGCAGCTGAGAGTTCACATCTTGAACTGCAACAGGAAGCTGCGAGTGCACTGGGGATGTCAGGAGGCTTTTGAAGCTGCAACCCCCCTTCCCTGGCCCCCCATACACACCCCAGTGACACACATTCTCCAACAAGGCAATACCTCTGATTCTAAAAAATTCTACCAACTGGGCCCAAGCATTCAAACATATGTGTCTGAGGAGGGTCATGCTCACTCGGACCAGCACAGGCTCCTCTCCTGCCTTCATCTCCTAGGTGCTGGAGTAACATGTGCATCTCTGCACACGCAGCTTTTGTAGCCCAGGGGGGGCTGGAGCTGAGTATCCAGCTCCCAAACATGGGGCAAATCTCCTGTCTCAGCCTGGGCTTATGGGTGTAAATCAGCCCACCCTTTCCTTACCCCAGGGAGGGGTTGACCTCAGGTCTCTGTGCTTTGAAGGCAAGCACTCCATCACTCAGGTTTGCCCTTAACCGTACTTTTTTCTCTTTTAGACTCAGCGAACCTTTTCCTGGAGACCTTGCTGGCCTCCCAGCATGTTTAGTTTCTGTTGCCATGGCAAAACTCCCTGAGGAAAAGTAACATAAGGAAGAAAGTTCACGTCAGCTCACAGTTCCAGGTTGCAGTCCACCATTTCAGGGATGTCAAGACAAGAGGACATTGAAGCTTCTAGTCACATCATATCCATACATAACCCCGGAAGCTAATTCACGGATGTCTATGCCCAGGTCACTTGTTCCTCATTTTATCCTCAAACCCAGGGAATGGTGCCACTCACAATGAGCAGAACTTCCCACTTCAGTTAAGGCAATTAACTGTAACCACAGATATGACCATAAGCCAACCTGCTCTAGACAATCTCTCACTGAGATTTTCTTCCTAGGTGATTCTAGATTGTGTCAAGTTGATAACTAAAGCTAACTACCACAACCTAACAACCATTTGCCAATGTGATACACAGGCATACCATAGCATTTTAAGTCATAATTCCACATCTTGTCCTCAGTTCTTCATGGTTCTTTTTCATAATATAAATATAGTCCAACCTTTAAAGTCCCAATAAGTAACAATTCTAATTTTTTTTGAAAAGTCCAAAGTTTCTTCACTGTGAGCTTTTATAAATGTAAACAAATAGGTCATACACACCTATCAGATAATGGTAAAGGAAAAAAAATTCTATTCCAAAAAGGAAGGGTGGTGGTTTGAATGAGAATGAGTCCCATTGCCTCATAGATCTAAATTTGAGATCACCAGGAAGTACCACTATTTGAAAGTATTAGGAAGTGTGGTCTTGTTGAAAGAAGTGTGTCACTGGTGAGTAGGCTTTGAGGTTTTCAGAAGCCTAAGCCAGACTCTGGCTCGCTCTTTTCCTGCCTGTAGATCTGGATGGAGAACTCTGAGCTCCTTCTCCAGTACCATGTCTGTCTGTGTGCCACCATGCTTCCATATGTCATCATAATAGACTAAACCTCTGAAGCTGTAAACAAACCCCAATTAAATGCTTTCTTTCATAAGAATTGTTGTGGTCCTGGTGTTTCTTCACAGAAATGGAACACTGACTAAGGCAGGAAGTATCAGGGCATTACCAGTGAACAAGACGGTGAACAAAACCAAAACCCAACAAGGAAACATGACCCTTGTGGCACCATATCCAGCATCTTGGGCATATAACATAGACTTCTAGGTTCCACAGGACTTAGAAAGCCCCACCCCAGCTCTGCCACCGCACACACAACTTCTCTTTTAAAGATCAGCCATCTCTAGTCCTGGCAACTCCAGTTTCCTGGGTCTCTTCACCTTCACAGCTTCACACAGTGGCTTTTGGGAGCTTCTTTGCAAGGACTCCAACCCTACCAGATAGTACCCAGCCTTGGCTGAGCTCCACAAATCCCCTCAATCTTTCATCTTTGCCTTAAAACCTGGCACCATGCAGACAATGCTACGGCATTGATAAGTTCTGTTGCCAGACTAAAATGCATCCCTGCCCTCTTGAAAAACAGCCACATTCACCTTGTGTGCTGACCTTGAGAAAAATGTCTTCACATCATCCCAGGAAGTACAGGGAGTTCCTCCACACTGGTGCTGAGCTTTCTTCCTGTTGATTGCAGCTGCCTCTGTCATTCCTCCCTCCCTCCAACTCCAAGAGCTTAAAAACCACATGGCCTGGTTTATCAGAGCCATGCCCTTTCTCCATACCAATCTTTGCTCTAGTTTCATTTTTGTCACCATTAAAGTCCTCTGACAAAAGCAACTTATGAGAGAAAGGGTTTATTTTAGCCCATGGTTCCAGGTAACAGTCCACAACTGCAGGGAAATCAAGGCAGGAGGATCCCATCGCATCAAGAGCAAAGAGAAACGGAGGAATGCTTACTGTGCTCAGCTCACTTTTTACCTTTTTATAATACAGTCCAAGACTGAAACTCAGGGAATTGTGTCACCCACAGTGGGCAGATCTTCCCACTTCAATGAACATAATTAGGACAACCTCCCTCTAGACATGCCCATGGTCCAAGCTAATCCAGACAACCCCTCGCTGAGATTCTCCTCCAAGTGAGTTTAGATTTTGTCAAGTTGACAAATTAACCATCATACAGCAGAACAGGAGAAGGTGAATCCCAGGCCCCTGGACGTGTGCCCATAGCTAGTGGTACAAAGCCCTCCTTCATGTGTCAGAATGTGCAGAGTTTCAGCTTTCTTCTCAGAATGGAAAGTTCCCTGCCCGCCAATGCACACATGTGGGCTTGATTTACTTGACTGCTTGTTGGCCAGGACTCCTCTGGTTACTGTGAATTCTTTCCTTCTCTCCAAGTGAACAGTCACAGGGTGGTCTCCCAGAGGACCTTCTCTAAACTTGTCCTTGGTAGAACCTGATGTTGGGAGCTTCCAGAAGCCCTGTCTCTCTCCTGAAGTCTCTACCTCCTTCCCCTGCACAGCATCCACAGGAGACTCAGAGCCATATATTTCCAGAGTGTCTTCCTGCTGTCACTAGCTTTCCAGGTGATCAAAGGAGGCCTTATAATGAGCTCACTATATAGGCCATATATATATATATATATATATATACTCACTATAGGCCTTATAGTGAGCTCACTATATAGGTCTCACTACCTTATAGTGAGCTTTTAGGTCAGTGGTCTGAGTGACATGGCCCGGCAGTGTGGAAGTGCTTCCAGCCTTGAGATAACAAGAGTTTCAGGAAGCTGCTAGCAACAGCACATTCTGGTTGTCAGCTGGGTGATTTTGCCCCATGGTACATCTGCAACATCTGGAGCCTTTGGGATGGTAATATGTGTGGATTATGCTTTGGGGATCTAATAGACAAGGGCTGGAATGCTGCTGTGGTTTCAGAAGCCATCTGGCCCTGGTGTGGGACATCTTGAACTACGGAGATACTTTCCTGGCCTGCCTATTCCCCAGGCGTCCCTCACTGAATTTCCTTGGGCTCTAGAAATAGTCAAACTTACTCATGGCACAAACTGGCCAAAGGATCTATGGGAAGAAAATGTTCTCAAAGGCACAGTGCTATTTTCTGCCTTGGACCCTTCCTTCTTTACCTAAACTTCCTTTTTTATTCCTCCGTGTGTAGCCTGGTATACCTTAAAAACAAAATTGAGTGGAAAGAGAGTACACAGTATTCCTGCCATCATTTCAGTTGAGGGGAGAATAAAACCACTTGACAATATGTCAGTCAGTGACAACATACACATCAAAATGGTTGAGGAGATGGGAGGAAGGAGGATGGAGAAGGTAAGAAGTCCCTGCCGAGTCTTCTTTGCTGGCCTTCATATGTGGCTCGCACAGGTCTCGATGCTCTGTAGAATCTTCTGGCTTTGCTGTCTTTCCATCTGGAGAAGCAGTGTGGGCAGCCGATCACACGGGTGTGGGAAGGAGACCTCCCAGCACATTGGGAGCCTGCCAGCCAAGCTCTGAAAAAAATAAGTCCATCCCAGAACACCGCAGCTGAGAAGGCCCAAGTTCTTGCTTCTGTCCTCCTCAGGGCTATGAGCATTTCAAAAGCAGAGGTCAAGGCCTCTCAGAGGCAGCTCGGTGGGTAAAGGTGCTTGCTGCCAAGCTGAAAACTTGAGACTGATGCCTGGGACCCACATGGTGGAAGGAGAGAACTGACCACAAGTTGCCCTCTGATCTCCACACCTGTATGAACTGGCACTAGTCAGTTTATACTTACTACAGGCAAGTCCTTTATCAGTGGTCTCACTGGCCTCTCACCCTCTGACCTCTGCCAGATATTTTTTGTTTTATATCCCCTTCCTTTACTGTTTCCTCTCCCTGCAAAACTCAATTCACTGGAAAGTTTCTTGGTCTCTAACTCAACACCACTTTCTCTAGAGTCTTTTTTTGAGCATCCTTCTTCCATGTCTACTGTGTGCTTGAGACAGGGGCTTTGTGCCTTGCTGTCCATGTTTCTCCAGCAGCTGCTCTGTAAGAGGGTCTGAATGCTTTGATTGACTTCCCACCTGTATGGGCTATTACGTAAGACCACTGTGAGCAACACAAGTAGTTCTCCAAATGACGTCACTGAGAAGTGAGGGGATAACCTCAGGATGTCCACAAGAATTCTTTGAAGCTACTTCTTTCACCTGAAAATGAGACAGTAGAAGAGGGTTCACAGAAATGATTCATTAGGGGTGCAGAACAGTTATAAAGATAGTACCTGACAGGGACGGGCACTGTTAGACAGCTTCCCAGAGACATGTGTGTTGTTTTTTGTTTGTTTGTTTTTACCATAAACCAAGATCCTGGGATGTTTTTCATCAACTTGTACCACAACCCATTTGCCTGTCATCTGAAAATACCAAGTTGCTGTGGCAAAGAAGATCTGAGATCACCTCCAGGTTGGCGCCTCCATTACCCTACCCCTGTGAAAATGGTCTGCCGGGGCCTCCTGCTTTGAAAACTAAACTATCATTGGTTCTGATACCATTAACACATGCCTAACACTGTGCTGGCTAGGCCTAAAGAAGCCAGTGGGAGACAAGCAGAGACACCAAGATGGTTGCTTTCCATCTCTCCCCGATGTCATGCTGGCCTTCAGCAATCCAACTTCAACTCAAAAGAAGATCCTTTCTTTACACTCCAGTTTTGGTGGGTGGGGGCTTGGCTTCCAAGTGGCAAATAATTTGATTGTGTTCATAACTCTCTTGTTATCCCAGATCCACCTGATTCCTCAAAATATCCCTAAGATTAAGGTCTGTTCACCTGGGTTGCCCTATCTATCAGGAGCAGCCCCCTACATCACAGCACACTTTTTTCTGAGCCCACCTGTGTGTCCTCCATATGCCGGCTCATGAGGTCACTTTGAGATGTGACAACTGCCTGCTGCATGCCACCCCCCTTGTTGTCTTAACAATCTGGGTCCCCAGGTAAGCCAGTCATGTCAGATGTGGAGCCCACAGTGGCCTCCTGTGACACTCGGTTGGGCGGTGGCTTTATCCTCACAGTGAGGACTGCTTTTATCTCTCAGGAGGTTCAGCCATCCGTTGACTATTCATTTATTCCTTCATTCACTCAACAAATATTTACCCAGCCCTTGCTCTGAGTAAGGACAGAACAGAAATGAATTACGCACACACAATCTCACAGCTCTCCATGGTGCCAGAGGGGAGATAAGAAAATCTGTGCTTGCAGCTCATTGTGGGGCTCGCTGTTCTTTTCAGCAGCTGGGGTCTGCTGCTAACAATACCCTGATTTTCCCTGGGAAAGTGCTACTGCCCCCTGTTCTCACCCAGTGTGTCCAGGATGGAGGTGGGGTGGACAGTGCTAGATAGCTTGTTTGCAGATAAACTAAACAAGGCCAGGGAAAGCTCAGGGGCTTGGTGGTGGCCTGCCAAGGATGGGGGAGGTGATCTGATTTCATTTTGGTACTTTTGCAGAGATGATCCATGAATCTAGTAATGTCAGAAGTTACTAATGTAACTTGCGAAGGAATTCTTCCATCAGCCACTGGCCTGGGAAGGTGTCCTAAGGGTGGAGGTTCCTGCCTGGAAAGAACCAGGAAGAAGAAAGCACAGCCAGTATCTACATGTGGCCATAGGCTACCTGTTGATCAACTGTCCAGTGTTAGGTACAGACATTTGTCTGCCCAGTGGGCTCAAGTTCTTCCACTGAGTGTGTCGTTCCTTCCAACCTACCTCCACTTTTGAACTACTCTAGGACTAAGTGATTTTA